CCACACTGACGGCTTCGGTGTCCACACCTTCCGTTTCGTCAAAGACGATGGCAGCACGAAGCTCGTCAAGTTCCATTGGAAGTCCCTTCAAGGCAAGGCGGGCCTCACCTGGGAAGAGGCTCAGACGGTGGCTGGCAAGAACGCCGACTACCACCGCCAGGACTTGTACGAGGCCATTGAGGCTGGTCGCTACCCTGAGTGGGAGGTAAGCTTCAGGGGTGCTGATGTGGGAGGTGACTTTGCTGACGATTTCCCAGTTCGGTGTCCAAATCATGGAAGAGGGTGACGACTTGAAGTACGGTTTTGACCTGTTGGACCCCACCAAGATTGTTCCCGAGGAATATGTCCCCGTCACTCCTCTCGGCAAGATGACTTTGAACCGCAACCCTCAAAACTACTTTGCCGAGACTGAGCAGTCCATGGTATGCTTGTTCAACCCAATCAAAGAGCGCTATTCTGATAGTGTAACAGTTTCAACCTGGCCACATGGTCCGTGGTGTCGACTTTACGGATGACCCGTTGCTACAGGGTCGCCTTCACTCGTACCTCGACACGCAACTCAATCGTCACGGTGGTCCCAACTTTGAGCAGCTTCCCATCAACCAACCTCGCACCAAGGTCCACAACAACAACCGCGACGGCGCTGCGCAAATGTTTATTCCTCTCGGAACTGCTGCTTACAGCCCCAACACTGTTGGTGGTGGCTGGCCAAAGCAAGCCAACAAGACTCAGGGCCGTGGTTTCTTCACGTCCAACCGCAAGTACTCTGGCACTCTGACGCGCTCTGTTTCCGACACGTTTGCCGACGTCTGGAGCCAACCTCGCCTGTTCTGGAACTCACTCAACAAGGTTGAGAAGCAGTTTCTGATCAATGCCATTCGCTTCGAGACCAGCAAACTCACCTCGGACATTGTCAAGCAGAACGTTCTCATTCAGCTTAACAGAGTATCTCACGAGATTGCCCAGCGTGTGGCTACCGCCATTGGCTTGACAGCTCCTGACCCCGATCCTACCTACTACCACGACAACACGACCCAGTCCGTCCGCCCCTTCAGCGACAAGCTTCTCAAGCTCGACGGCCTGAAAGTCGGCATTCTTTCTTCGGTGAAAGCTTCCAACGACTCCTCCATCAGCTCCATCAAGTCTGCTCTGAGCGCTAAGGAAGTCGACGTCAAGGTTGTGGCGGAGCATCTCGCTACTGGCATCGACCAAACTTACGCGGCCTCTGATGCCACCGACTTTGATGCAGTCATTGTCGCTTCTGGCGCCCAGGACCTCTTCTCGGGCAACTCTAGCAGCACCCTCTACCCAGCTGGCCGCCCGAGCGAGATCCTCCTCAACGCCTACCGCTTCGGCAAGACTGTTGGCTCCTTTGGCGACGCCGGCTCGGCTCTTACTGCCGTCGGCATCCCAAGCGGTGACGGTGTCTACCGTGACGCCACTGCGGACAACATCATCTCTGGCCTTGAGACGTTCAAGTGGCTCTCCCGCTTCCCTACCGACGACTGAATCGGATGATTGTGTAGGGCGTGTATTCTTTTCACCTCTCTCACATTGCACCTTGTGTCCAGACCGGTCCATTCTTTGTCACTAGTGGCTCAGAAGGCACGGGACAAGGTCACAGGGTCTTGTTGTACATACCGTAGACATTTCCGCAACCTCCGCGCGCGTATCGCGCAAGGCTCTGGAGAGTTTTCCTTGACTGATACCAGATCGCACAGGCGAACGGCTTAATGAATAATCGCAACGAATCAAAACACTCAAATGCTCCAAACCAGCTTGCATAGATTGTTCCTCGTCTCCCGCCATGGTGTTGTACTACTCAAACTAGGTTTGCTCCCTGGACCCTCCTTCCTATTCCAGTAGGTACACTCGCCAATTAGAGTCCGCCAGTCGCTGCCCTGTCCTTGTCACCGCCCCGGGCTGACCAAAGCGCTTGGCATAATCGTTGTTGGTGCTACCTTGCAAGTGCTTAGCAAAGACCGCGCACATGGCGGAAACAGCGTCAGGGATTCCTTGCTAGAGCGCGGGACGGATTACCTATCACAATCACAACTTGCCCATGGCAACTGGAGCCAGCCCAGCTTGCTCCACTCTCTTCTGGCACTGCTGTGAAAAGCCTAAGAATAGCCGCCTCTTCCAACTCGTCAGCGTGTATAGCGTCAGCTGCCTACCTGGCCCGCCTACCTTACTGTCTATCTTACGCTTTGCCGCTCTGCATCGGTTGGGGGCTGCAGAGGTTGTTCTACAACCGCGGCATGCATGTTTCCAGAGCAATCCCACCGCCTCATCAAGCAGAGACTGCGGCGCAGTGAGCGAATGAGGTCACCTGTCCAGACCACGCTGGATAAGTCGCGCTCACGCAATCATCACTTGCTTGAAATTAAGACCACTCGAGCGATACTTCCTGACCCGCACGTGCAACAGAAACCGGCCTGACTCTCTTCTCCCATACATTCGCTTCGGGTAAGGCCGCGCGCCACCCGAATCCGAAATCTACCATTCAGCAAACCACAGCAATCCACAACGCTTGGAGCCGCCATCGCAAATAGGCGCAGTTTACCGTAAAAGTACCTCGAGCAGCGCGCCACGCCGCGCCCGCTTCCCTGCCCTGTCTCGCCCTGTCTTGTCCCATCCAACCCTGCCTGTCTCACCCCTACGCCACGCGGCGGGAGGGCGACAGGGGACAGGGAGCAGCGGGCGATGGCAGCGGGGATGCGGGTTCCTTGGGTTTTTCCTGTGCAGATGCACCGGGCGTCTGCTGCGGTGATGTTCTAAATCAGAGAGATGGTGGGGGTGGGGTGGCAGAGATGACAAAGCTGAAGATTTTGTTGGTCCCGGTGGCGGGGATGAGGTGGGATTAACGGCGCGTGGTATTGCGGGGACGGGGAAGAAAGGACGGGGTGTTTGTGGAACTGTGGCACGGGTCTCAGGAACAGGCTCGCGTTCCTGGGACGAAAGTTGGTAAGTTTGCTGTGTTTGGTGCTCAGTTGACCTTGAACAGGTGCGTGTGTGGAGAGAAAGTGCAGAGCCTGTACATCCCTCCAAATCTTTGATCATTCAAGCCGAAAGCGCAACCGTGCGACAGAAATAGTGCGCAAATCTACACCAGTATTTCGACATCTGCGTTCGCCCTCCTGTATCCAGCGTCAAACGCGACCCAATTCACAAATCGTCAATACTGCGCCTCTTCTTCAAAACATAGCCTCTCATCTGTCATCAGAGAAGCCTCTCAGCAGCACAAGCAGTGAGACGAGGTAAGAAGTAGGAGCCGACCTGCCAGGGACAGCGTGGTCCGTTCGTCCCACCATCCACCGTCACACTGAGCCATTTTTCAGGCCTGTGGCTGTCCTTCGTGCGAGGCACCGTACACTGTCATTCCCATGTCTATGCGCATATGCTTGGACGCGGGAAGAGGTGCAATGACGATCCTTCGCCGTTCTGCATGTACCTGCGCGGTTTGGTTTGACGCGCCGCGATAAGGCCACAGTGGGCGTCGAAAGAAATGAGACTCCCTAGGTCTAGATGTAGTAGTGAATGAATGCTCCCTAAGTGCAAGTATCGGAGCGAATGAACGATCCCTAGATGCATACATACTGCCGGGAGGTCTCATTTCTTTCGACACCCATTGTGAGGCGAAGCGGTAGGGCGGTGAAAGGCTCGATCAAATGTGAGCCGGATAGATTGGCCGGGTTTGCTGCAAGTGTGGTGGTGTTTCCTGCACCACGCGGGCTTGGGATGCGGGTGTTGGTGTGGCGCTGGATCCTTTGTCTGCCGTGTTTCATGCGCTTCTGCTGACCCACGCGCCGATGATGCGGGGGATTTTTTGTGAAAGACTGGGAAAGGGCACATGGTGCTGCGGTGTAGCCATGATGGTCATTAGTTAGGTAAGAGAGAATCGAAATCTTCCCTACAATCTCACTGTGGTCCCGCCATGGGTTCAGCAACATGAGTCGCTTTTGAAATTCTTCACTCTCCCGCAATGATGGCCTCCATCACTTTGGCCCAACGGATTTGGAGGCTCCAGAGTCTTCCAGTAATCAACGCAGTCTCCGCACAAAGCAAAGAGAGAAGAGAAAGTACGTTGGTAGGAGTATTTCCCTCCCCACCCAACCCAAGCACAGTGTGATAGGTCTCTTTGCCCTTTCCGACTTGGAGTCTGCCTCTGTGTCTGGAAGTTGTTTGCTGGGGAGCAAAGTCTCGAATTTGTAGCGGAAGATCTGAATGCCGAGAGTGTTGCCTTGAGCATGGACCGATGGCACACGGGCGACGACCTCATCGCGCGCGGAGAATGGCCACATGGAAATCCAACGCGCTATGACATGGCGGCGCGCGATGATGTCGCCGTCAGACTCACAAGGACCATTTCGCTAGAAGCATGTGGAAGGTCGGAGAGGCTTGCGCCAGAACCCTCTGCTGGCAACAGTAGCATCCCGATAGTCAAGGAGCATTCATCAGCGATGGAAGCTTGCGGTCCTGTTGTATGGCTCTGGAACAGTAGCCAGTTGCTCTTTTCTTCGCGTTATTTCTTTCCGCTTGTTGGGCTGTGGCGATTCCTGTGCGCATGCTCCGCGAAGTCAGGCCAAGATTGCCCCTGAAACTGCCAGCCCCTGACACCCCCTGAAACTGGACAACGTGATGCAGTTCGCGTTTTACCATCCGCAACTGCAACGGAGCATTCGAAGAGATGTCGAACACACCTCCAATCGCGATTGTCTATCCACAAGGCGCAAAATAGCCGCTCATCCAGAGTTCTGCCCACTGCTCGCAACAACGACCATGTCACAACGACCATCGATCGCATTGTTCCACAAACAGGATTGCGGACTTACCGTCTCCTTTAAAGCCCACAGACCGCAAAAAAAAATGGTCCTGATGAACTTCACCACTGCAAACGCTGTGCGAAATCCAAAATGTTCTCCTGCACCTCCCGCCCTCCACTGCATAATATTCCAACAAGAGACCATCAAAACGAATCGCCTTTAAAGCCAAAAGAGTACTGCGTCGGCCGGGAATCGAACCCGGGGCTCATCGAAGTTGAAACTGTCGTGTGGAGTTGAGGTTTTACTCAGATTCCACTAATCACGTGCTTGGCAACGATGAATTTTACCACTAAACCACCAACGCTTTTGAGCGGTTTGTATTTTAAAAGCCATTCAACACAATAGATATACATCAGCTTTTTTGACTAGGACAAGCCTCCAATCCCCCTGAAGATTCCCATGCCCCCTCCCCTGGTGACGTGGTTTTTGGGATTTTTTTAAGTTCTTGCTTCTCGGATTAGTCTTGACATAGGATTCCGATTTTCAACTAAGCGAGGACATGGAAGCCGAGGTATTTGATGTACCGACGATTAAATCTACGAAAATGAAGCAAGATATTAATTCCTCGTGCATGTATCTGGAAATATGTGCGGCTCGCTACTTTGTCTGCACCTCGTCCCCTCTCCTTAAATAGACAGCGTATTCTGTAATACCTGCAGGATCCACTTATTTTCTACACGATTGGTTACGAACGCGGGGTGCGGCACAGCATCTCATGACCTGTTGATGGCGGGTGTCGACCGCAGCTAACCTTCACACCACCAGAACGGGGGTAAGCAATCCATTCTCTCAAGCTCTTGCACCATGGAGACTTCGTCTACAACAGCATCATGGCTCTCCTTCCTTGTGACATCTGTCGGGCTGGGCTCGCTGATCTCCCAAGCCAGCGTCATCAACGACAAAATGGATCCCTTTCATGACCAGCGCTCAGTCAAACACCTGGGAATCTGGTTCTGCCGACAGCCGCAATTTCCCTTTTGGAAAGTCGCGAAGCCACCTCCAATCGGACCCGAGATCAATGCGAAGCTCAGCGATGGGTTCTGCGGATTGAACGCTGTACACCTATCTAGAGTGCCCGTGTCACAGCAAGCCGGGGAAGCGGGATGGGCCACGTTCCTCGCCGTCATCCACCAGGAGCAGTTGAGAATCGTATCTTCTTCTGCTGGCGACACCGAAGCCGAGAAAGGACTACTTCTGAGGGAAATTGAACGCGAAATGGTTCGTAATGGCTGGGAGTCTCTGCCAAAGTCGCCCCTCGTCCGCCACAGGAAATCGGCGTGCATTACAATCAGCCGGACGACGCTTTTGACCTTGCTCTCCATAACAAATGCGCGGCCTATTTTCCGCCACAGCGATGCAGCAGGACATCGCGCAGCCTATGCATCCTACTCTGGACAGTGGTACATTGACTGGCCATTGGGTTCGCCGGCAACCGTCAGCTTTGCCGCCCACGACTCCCACTCCGCCGCAACAGACGTGTATCCACTTTCTTTTGAACGGAGAGTCGACAAATGCATCCAGATGACTGCAGGAATTATAGCGACATTCGACTTCAAAGTTGCGTTTCCAGGCCGCAAAGCACCGGGAAGATATGTTCTCGAACACATCCCCAAAGGATTTCCAGGTGCACACGGAAGTCGACACCTCTACAACATGATGGGTGGAAAGGTCTACGAGATTGACTTTTTGTTCGCGCGGAAGCTTGGCCCCAACGACCCTGAGCCACCGCAGGCAATCAAGCTCAACCTACCCAGTACTGCGAAAGGCGACGTCGAGATGTTCGTCTGTGCCCAGGAACAGGAAATCTTGAATCGGGCGATGGATAGTCTGCCGTGGTCGTCACTCTCCTGGAGCATTCACCGGGGTCTCCGTGATCTTCTCATGGCATTCTCAAAAACTCGCATGGATGAGCTGCGCTCGCGGTTTGCGTCTACGCTCCGCCAAGCCGTGCGAGACAATTATTTGGCGCTGGATGCGCTCGGATGGGAGCCGACTTTTGTTCGACAGCATATGGGAGACATGGCTGCGGGAGCGGTCGTTGCCGGCAGCGGGAATTCTGGAGACCTTGTTCGTGTCGTCTCTGACGTTGCTCTGGCACTGTGTGGCAACAATAATCCCAAAGACCTCGACGAAATCACATTCTGGAGGTCTCCTGTCCAAGATGCTGATGCCACAGATCTCGATCGACAAGCCATCATCGCCATGACAAAGTGTTTCATCCTCGAATGGAGCACCGAACTCGACTACCAGATGTATCACGACCTTCCCCTTAAACTGTATTTTGCATAGTCGTTTTCTTGGGTCTCTCAGAAGCTGCCGTCATTGAGCGCATACGTCTTTCTTTTCGGATTGGTCGTGTTTGGGACCAGTGTGTTTGAGGAGGAGAGCGAACCGAAGGCGTTCCGAACGTCGTATTCTCTCGCAAATCTGTGCCTAGAATGTTCTCATGAGTTCGTAAGCAGCCGGCGCCGTTTGTTTCGTAGAACCCGAGAGAGTTCCCCGTGAGCCGCAGCACCGAGTTTGACCACAATCTGACCATCTCTTGGGTGTTTGTCTCTCATTTACCCACCCGCTATCCCGAAACCAAACGTAACGTTTTCACAATGCCTCAGAGCTGTGCAGGTCCAGAGAAAGCGGCCCGGCAGGAAACGGCTGGTAAATCTGCCGTGGCACGAAACCGCGAGAGGATCCCTCCTACTGAACCAGCGATTTTCTCTGCCCACGCGGCTAGCTCCGCTCGCATCGCTCGGCAAGCCACCCGTTGCGTGAATCTTGTCTGGTATTTCGGCGTCATATCGAGGTAGGTGTCCGCAAGCCCTTGATTTCTCTCACAAGGAACTCCATGTTTCGGCGATCGGCTCCGTCACTCGTGGGAGGGATTGCTAGGCAGAAACAGGGCGATGACGCGTAGAAGAGGTAGGGCAGGTGAGGCTATCGTGGCCGCCCAGAACATTAGAGCCTCATGACCAAGTCGCTCGGCTCGACAAGAAATTCCATGGTGTAGTTGGCATAGCGGGACGCTTCAGTTCGCGGTTTCTGACGTTCCGTTGCGGCGTGAGCGAGGCGGGTTGTAGAGGAGCCGAGTGGCTGAGGTGTTCGTGCGTACACGGACGAGCCAAAGTAGCGAGGTGATGAAGGCAGACAAAAGTTGGAGAGCTTGAGGATTTCAAACCTCTCGTCTTTTCGGCGGAGAAGCGACGAGCTCGGTTCGGTTGACGATCTCGAAAAGCCGCATGACTTGCAGATCGACGGCCATGACTTTCGACACACAGGGCTGCCATCATTCAACACCAAACCCTTTCATCTCGACACTTGACAAATATCTCCGCTTCATCGTTCACTGAACATTATCTCCGAGCCACAAAGCTGTTGACCTCGAGCAGGTCGGAATCATGATCGGCGATGATGTCACGCTTGCCGAAGCCGTTAACTGTTAGGTCCTTCGTCTGCCATCTTTTTCAAACCATCGTCCCGCCATGAGAGCACGCCATCCAGTACCTGCTGGATTTTCCTCTAAGCTCGTATACAGCCCGAAGAAACTCGCTCCGTAGATGAACAAAGGGTCCTTCGTCCTGCAACGTCGAAACGGTCCGGCAGGCGTTGGTTGTTGGCAGATGCCGGACGCTCTCGGGATCGAACGATCGCGGCGCGGAGCGTCGGGATCCCGCTACTGTCCTAAGCCTTGAAGCCGCTGCCATTTGGAGGCTCTTCCTGGTAGTGAGCGCCCTGCCAGGTTTTGCGTCCTCTCCGATGCGCTACAGAATCCACGCTTTCTCGACCTCGCGCCTGTCCCAGAGGATTTCCTAGCCCTCCCGATTCCAAGTCTCGGAGGCTGCCAATGTGCTCAGTACACTTTTCCAAAACCCATTCAGGATGTGTGTGGACAAGAGGTAACAAGCCTAATCATGTGGGACCAACTGGACAGAAACAATGAAGACGACGGTCAGACATCAGTCGCTTGTTCATGTTTCAATAAATCAGAAGAAAAGAGGCAGCTTTCTCGTCAACCTCTTCCCATCCTGGCTCAGAAGCCGAAATTGAAATGAATTTGACAAGGCAAAGTAAAGATATGCGCTGGTTAGCGTCAATATTGACGGACCCAAGATGTGTCGATTTGTGGCTTTCGAGAAAATGAGGCAGTATTCTGTTTCAAAAAGAGGCGGATCCAGGGCACGTGCCAGGTCTAGTGCATCCAGACGCCCGCAAGTCCTACACGCACGTACGGTTTCCTTGGCCTTATGCAGAGACAAAGGCATGTGCACGAGTACCAGCGATTTGTCAGAGCTGGCTATTTGCGCACCGAGAGGAAGCTGTTGACGACCGTCTTCACGGCTTATTCCTGGACGACCAACAACTGCGTAAACTTTGAAGAAGAATTGCGTCTATCGTTTGGTAAACTGCATTGACAGTTTGGACATGTCAAATACCGCTAGGGCATAAGTGGCAAGATCGATTTGTCACTTCACACATTACAGGTAACGGAGCCTTCTTTTCCATGCGCTCGTGCGTATTTGGTTTCAGTTTCGAGAATACGCGCTAGATGTCCATCTCCCGTTCTCTCTGCTCCAACCCAGAGACCCACGGAAAGGACCGGTGGATTGAATCGCATCTTCAAAGATCCATTGATGGAATCGATGCCGCTCAATCTCCCCGTTCACTTGGAAAAGTTACTACTTCTCTCGCACATCACAGAGTCGAGTATCGCCTCCTGAAACCCAGGTCATAGCAAACGCACAATCTCAAAGCGCAGCTGACCCAATGTTTTCTCGGCCTTGCCGACAGGAGCTCGCCATCCGGTCGAGCCGAAAATGCCATTGTCCTTGGACCTTTTCAAAGGGCAACTCCATGCGCGGCAGCATTCGCCTTACGCGTCCAAGGGTTTCAATGTCACTTGTCACAGAATTTCTATGCCTGACCGTCGGCACTCCGTCCGCCTTGACCACGGCTGCCTAGTACAACAGCCTTTGTCAAATTCAGCTTTATGGAATCTGGAAGCACGAAAGAAGGTCATCCAGGAAGCCTTGCGGCTCCGGGCCGCCAAGTGACCTCGCTGCCTAGGTGCAGCCCTCGTGATGGTACTGTACAAAGTAAGGCGGACGCCCGCCAACGGGTCGAGGTTTTCCTGCTTTCCGGAAGACCCAAGATCCACCGCAGCCTGTTGCAACTGACCGCGGCATCCAGGCCAACTTTTTTGTTTGGCTGTTTCTCCGAGCCTAGGCCCCCGTTCTGAATGACGTCAAGGGGACCGATTGTTTGGATTCTACGCTCTCGTCCACAAGTGATCCTCCGGCATGTCGGCCTCTA